TTTTTACAAATCGTTTAACCACTAGAACAATTGAATCCTGATCGCCGTCAATTCTGAAAACGTTAATCCTGTTAAATTACTTTTAAAAATTGTGTACATGTACCTAAACGTACAAGATGCCAAACAACATTTTGAGTAAAAGAAAAGTCAATGTTACTTTTCTTTTGTTTAGTAGTCGAATATTAAAATCACAAAGGAAATCGTTTGATAGTTTTTACACAGTTAAATTCACGAATCGATCTAAGCTAGACCACCATTAAAAACCTAAAAGCACAACACAATCGCTTTGTACTAGTATGCGCATTCACGGTCCTACATGTGTGACTTGAAGCCAAGACCTTCGATCTCACATACGAACGCTTAGCCTCTAGACCAGTGATTGATAGTTTAACATACAACAGTTTGGTGACACTGTTTTCTGTTACACTGTAAATACAAGGTTGATTGAGAAATCCTAAGGTTTATCACAGATGGAACGATAAAAACAAAAATTGATCGTTTATATTCATATACTCTAATGTTCATTCCAAAAAATAATAATAAAAAATAAAAGTTATCGTATAGGATTACCAAACGTTTTTCAACAGAAAGCCCCATCACTTAACTAATTTATCAAGTTGATGACACGATGTGGCTTGAAATGGTTGGTAATTAGTTGGTATTTTAGTGAGGATGACATTATTAGAATGTAATCACATTAAGTAACATGTTTGAGAGATCTGGGAAATTGATCGTATTCACATAAATCTGGATGGCATTGGCAGGTGGGTTACTAAATTTGCGAAACATCACTTATTAAGGTGCTTGGGAGATATGGCATTCAACTAACATTGCATCTAAGTTATATCTTAGTTATCTGGAGTGGGTTGATAGAAGGTTGGGGTCGGCCATAATAAATCATGACGATAACCTATGATATCATTGAATTTAAAAGTTACACCAGTCTGAAAATATCCTGCTTAGGTTCCATGAGATATATATTTTTATGCATTGCGTTCTCTGGCGAATCAGTTGTTGTGGACAATAGTTCTTTGAAGTTTAAAGAGAATATAAGACTTAATATCTCGGATATTCAGTCATCTGTAAAATCTTCGAACCAACGTATTCTTGGTGAGTGAATGAATTGAAAAAAATGTACATTTCAGTGTAGTTCTAATACATAATGTAATGTTGTAGATGCTACTATGAAGCACTAAGTGTTGGGGAGTGTAGTGAATGTATTTTTCATATCACAAAAGGTTTTTTTACAAAAAGTCAATATTCTACTACCTATATCATTATTTTAAAATTAATAACACATACACAGGACATTATGTCCGGATAGAACTACATCATATTCCATCACAACCAATATGGATATAGTACCAGCCATAAAATTAAATAATTATCAACTTTATGATTATCACATTTCATACTGTTAAGGAGTGTTCACTGAAGTATATTTTAGTTCTTCTACAACGATTAGTTGTCTCAATACTTTCACAGAAAATAGTTACTTTTTTGTCATTTAAAGACTTGCTCATTTAGAAAAACTCTTTGGTCACGAACTGACATCGATAAGTCATAATTCGGTGGCTCATATTTCATATTACAGTTAACCCTCTGTACAAATTGGCAATTATTTAATGTCACCGACAAATAAACATTTATAAAAATTATACTGAATATTATAATAAGTGGTATTAGCATTGACCGATCAGTGAGTAGCGGTCAGTATTATATTTTCCTAGCCATTTAGTGATGATCAGATTACATCAATTAAGTTATCATGTGGCCAGCAGCCCAATTGATTTAACGTCGAATACACTGTTTTTATGTTAGATAATTAGAAACAGTGTTCATGAAATCTTGGACCTAGATTTTGAGTTACTTGGTTCTCGTCAAAAAGAAATATTTGTCAGTCAGTCAGTCAGTAACAACGTAGAACTTCGTACGTACGTACATCAGTTCGAGTTGCCACACCACATTAGCACAGAGATGCAGTTGTCGATTCAAATCCCGTAGTGGTAGAGGTAATAAGAGTATAAGCAGTAATCGGGAAGATTAGGGTTTGGAGATGTTATTCAAGGAGTATAATCCAGTGAAATAAATTTACAAAGAGGAAAAGAAAGGGACATGAAGAATTCAGAAGATTAAAATCTGGGAGAACACAGAGTGGATGCACCTGCGCCATTGCAAACGATTTTGAGCCATGTCATTCAGGGTCTCTAACCATCGGTTGCTATCATCTCGCGGTCCCCAACCAGGTAGTCTACACTTACCAACATGACTCAGTCCACTTGTCAGTGACTTCATGGACTTGTGCCATGTTTTGGTTTGGCCGCCCCTAGCTTACTTCCAACCTACTCCTATACCACTGAACATAGCACGTCGGGGCAGTCGGTCGTTGGACATACGTAACACGTGTCCCAGCCACCTCAACTGATGAAGTTTCACTACTTCATCAATTGATTTGCTATCCTTACCTAGTACCCGTTTCCTAACAACTGTGTTACTTACTCGATGGTCCCATGATATACGAGCAATGTTTCGAAGACACCTATGATCAAATACTAGTAGCCTACGAATATCCTCTACTCTCACCAGCCATGTTTCACTGCCATAAAGAAGGACGGAACGAACTGCTGCGCAGTAAACCTGACGATCATGAACTCGATCATTACATTGTGGTTAATCAACTATAAATATTTCAATCTCACAAATGATCAGTCTTATCCCGAATAGCTCTGTAATAATTTCTTAAACTGTAAAATCGGATAATAAAGGGTTGGATCCTCCCCACCCACCAAAGATCATCGGTTTTTTTATTGATCTAAATAGTATTTACTAAAAACTTAATTTGAGAATAGTTTAGGTATAATTTATTAGGATTAAAGAATCTAATAATAACTTCATTAGTTAGTTGCTATGTGACCACAAAAAACTATCTTTTAGTTGAAATAAAAAAATCCAAAATCATTATTATTTTCCATGTAAATTGTAGCGGTTACCGGTAATAAGCTTTCAAATTGACTATTATCATTGTTTATGTTAAAATGGAGATACTTTATTATTATTATTATTATTATTATTATTATTATTATTATTATTGTTCAAAACAAAGTAATTTTCTGTTGTTAGTAGATTGTAACTACTATAACTTCTGTATTTAGTTAAATTAAAGGAGTAATTGTGTTGTATTTTATGAACTATGATTAGTAACCAAACATTTAATGGATCTCTTTTGAAACCCCTTTCGATGTGAATATAAATATATTTAAACAAAATAAAAATGTTGTAAAAAAACATACTACAGTTTAGGTTAAATTTTGAATGAATAACTTATCCATTAAAGGTAAATGTTAATCAGTTAGGATGCTTAGACTATTTTGGTACATAATATTGGAGTAATGTTTATTATCAGTAGAGGGGTTTGTGGAGATTTTAGTAATTTTATGGTTGACTTCATGAGTCAATTGAAGCTCGACCACTATGAAAAACCTGGAAGCACTGGATGGCCATTTCGTCATAGTGTGAGACTCCTCAGCAGTGCGCATCCACGATCCCGCCCCGCGAGATTCGAAACCACGATCTATCAGTGAGATCATAGATGTGCAACAATTAAGAGTCCCGTTATAATAAAAGCTGATTGAAGATATTCGCATTTTTCTTCTTCACTTTCCGGAATCATACATCACATCATATTATTGTTTGTACTAAAGCCTTGGAAGTTTATCAGTATACGGTTGTGGAAATTATTTAGTTTTTGATTGACATCATGAACCGATTGATGCTAGACCACCAATGAAAACCTGGAAGCACTGGACGGCCGTTTCGTCCTGGTATGGGACTCCTCAGTAGTGCGCACCCACGATTCTGTTCACGGGATCTGAAGCCACATCCTTCAGTCTCGCGCGCAATCGCTTAACCTCTAAACCCCTGAGCCTGCACCAAACCGTATTAATATTTAACCTCAACGAATTCTGTGGACGTGATCTTGGATGTACACTGCTGAAGAGTCTCACAATAGGACGAAACGGCCGTCCAGTGCTCACGGGTTTTCAATGTTGGTCTAACATCAATCGGTTCATGATCTCAATCAAAAACCTATCAGTTTAACTATTTAAATATTATTTCGCATATAATCAGTATACCTTCATTTAAAATCTAATTTGGATCTTATTTCAGCTCCAAACTATAGAATAGTAACTATTACACTTAAACTAAATGGAGTGAAAATAATTCGAATTTCACAGAAAAGAATATGAGAACATGATCTATATTTTACTGATCTGTGAAGCATACAAAACCATAGAGAAGGAAATCCTCTCATATAACCGATAAAAGTTAATTTTCAATTCATGCACACAAATTGTTTGGTAATATTTGTGAATGTTACAAGACAATTAATAATGTTTAAATATTAAGGCAATTTTCGAGAATAAACCAAATATTGAACTTAACACTTATATTGTACATTGAATCAGCTAAATTTCAATCATGAATTTGTAATTTAGTCAAAATGGATTTTATCTAAAGTCATTTATTTGAATGTTAACTTTATAAATATTTTGTCACGTACACTTTGATATAGGGATGTGTCAGTGAAGTAAATGAAATTTTCTAATTTTACTTACTTACGTACTTCTGTCACTCCTTGTGGAGGAGCATTAGCCGCCCACTAGCACTCTCCATCCAACCTTGTCCTGAGCAATCCTTTCCAACTCTTTCCAGTTTTTATCCATCCTTTCTATATCTGCTTTTATTTCCCGACGTCATGTGGTCTTTGGCCTTCCTCTTTTCCGTTTCCATTCAGGATTCCAAGTCAGGGCTTGCCTCGTGATGCAGTTCGGTGATTTGCGTAATGTATGTCCTATCCATTTCCATCGTCTTTTCATAATTTCCTCTTCAGCTGGAAGTTGGTTTGTTCTCTCCCACAGAAGGCTATTGCTGATGGTATCCGGCCAATGGATGTTGAGTATCTTGCGTAGATAACCATTTATAAATCTACAATTCATTTAATGAATATAAATAAATTAGATTCATTGAATTCATTCAATTATAAAGAATTAATGAAATCTCATTTCACTAAATCAACTTTAATGAAATCATGGTCTAATCTAAATAATACAATTGATATACCAAAATTATCAAAATATATTTCATTACCAAATCTATATTTATCGGAACAATTAATGAATTATAATAATAATAATAATAATAATAATAATAATAATAATAATAATAATAATAATAATAATAATGATAATAATAAATCAATGAAATTCATTAGACCGCATAAAATGAATTTCATGAAAACAATTCGTCAATATATATCAAAATCAGAACAAAAAAATTTATTAATTAAATGTGTACATATACCTGTAATAGAATTTACTACTTATACTGATATCTTTGCATTTGGGTAAGATTATAATTTATTATTATTCTTTCTTTCGTATATTTCATTATTGCTGTGTGTGTTTCATTTTTTATTTTTTGAGGTGAATGGGGGTGGGGAATTGTAACTGGAAACAATGCAATAACTCTAATGTATTCTTATAAGAATGATAAATATACTTACTTACTTACACCTGTTACTCCTCGTGAAGGAGCATAGGTCGCTCACCAGCATTCTCCATCCAACCCTGTCCTGGGCAATCCTTTCCAGCTCCTTCCAGTTGTAATTCATCCTTTTCATATCTGCTTCTATTATCCGACGTAATGTGTTCTTTGGCCTTCCTCTTTTCCGCTTCCCTTCAGGATTCCAAGTTAGAGCTTGCCTCGTGATGCAGTTTGACGATTTGCGTAATGTATGTCCTATCCACTTCCAACATCTTTTCCTAATTTCCTCTTCAGCTAGAAGCTGGTTTGTTCTCTCCCACAAAAGGCTGTTGATGATATCTGGCCAATGAATGTTGAGTATCTTGAGTAGACAATAGTGAATTGTATTACAGTGTGCAATTTGTAATGGAAAAAAAGTGGAATAAATTTTAGTTAAGGTCTTGTGACATATATTTGTGTATTTCTGAATTATGATCGACAGTTAATTGAAGATGTTTTATTGTAAATGGCCATGAAAGCAGAGATACTTAAGTATGAGAACCATTATAAATCAGTTAACGACTAAGCATAGCAATAACAAGCATAATTTAATTACTGGTTCATTCTTTACGTTGTACATTAGTATTATTTGTAATCATCGTTATTTGTGTATATGTTACGCATGCGAAACTTCTTATTTCGATAATCAAATTACTTAAATTTCATATCTATGTCATCAGAGAATTTAACTGAATGTTTTCATCAATAAGTATGAAATGCCCTGGGTGAGAATACTGAGATATCCGTTGACATTCCTTGTTCATCTTCTCACTCCAAGTTTCAAAAAGACATTGTTTGAAATATTATCTAAAGAGACAAAGTACCTCCAAGAAAGCTGAACATTTGTTGTTGGAGGAACGTTACAAATGATCATGATAAAACCCGAATGGATACTTTGAAACAGACCAAAGTTGGTTCAGACAACATTTATACCACTGGAAATCTGTAGCCACACATAACATGGATTTGAAATCGAGCATTCTTAAACACATTGAGAATAATAACATATCGTACATGAAATAAACAATCCATCAGATAGAAAAGTAGATGAAAAATAACCAGGTGACCACTAATGACATTCAGTCTAGTAGTCTAGCTGTTCACCACAGACTAATTCGTGAAGAATGTTTCATAGTTGGAAGATCAGGTGTTCATCAAATTCGTATAACAAACAACAGAAATTTCGTCTCCAAATTAGCTGTGATTTGCAGTCGAAGGTAGCAACAAATATCAAAAATGCCATTCAATCTAGGTTGTAGCACATGAAGAGCATAGAGATGGAAAATTATAGTTTGGAAACTAGAAAAAGTTTGCCGAGCTCACTGAATTGTCAAGTCCAGCTAGATGAAACGAGAAATTATCCTCCTCTGTTTATTGCTTGTCAGGTAAGAAAACTGTATATCACTATAATTGGACATCAAGTATATACGAACAGTACTTGTTAAATCATCGACCGGAACCCACCAATTGCTAAGTCAGTTTTTCTTGTAAATGTTTTGCAACTAGCCGAATTCATCGGCACCCAACTCAACAAACTTGACCCTTATATTCATAAGAAAGTAACAAGTATTCTGACAAAATATACTTGTCTAACCAGTAAACAACTGATGGTTCTTTATGCCAATTAAAAGGGTTAGTGTTGCAGAATGTTATTGCCTTATCTTTGAATCCTCAAATTCAACGGAAAAGGGAAAGACCAGAATATAAATTGCGTCGGCAGTTAGAGGCAGACGTCGAAAGAATGAGCGACAGTTGGGAGTAAGTGGAAAGAAGAGTTAAGGCCAGAGTAGGTTGGAGATTCTTGGTCAATGCCATATGCTTCATCAGATTGAACAGGTGTACGTGAGTGAGTAAGTACGCTTACAATTGCTATGGAAATTTTATTCTCAAGTTACAATTTTCTCATACGTTGAACTAATTGGATTATAGCTATTCAAAATAATAATTTAATAGATCAGTTGCGCACCATTTATCAGGAGGATTATTATTCACTATTTCAACAGAACAAATGTTGAGGAAGCGATCACTTCGGATCTATTTTATGGATCATTGATGCATCCATTGGAATTGTATTATTATGAAAACTTAGTTTAGTATACTTCCATATTCCTCATATTGTAAGCTTCCGTTTAACTGTTTTATGATCACAGAACATTATACAATTGCCTAGCTATCGCTAAACAATTATTCATCGTTTCCTATGTTTTCTGATACTTTTGGTTCATCTATGAATAAATTATGGTTTCCCATTCACGTCGTGTTGTGATACAATAATATTTGCATATAAACTCACACTTTCCTGAAGATAATGAAAGAAGCTCGTTTGTCACAATGTTCTCTGATTAAAGTGAGAGTGAAAAAGGAAGACTTGAGATTGGCAGACCGATAGATATCAGATCATTTCAATAACGCTCAAGGTTAATCCTACAACACAAGTGATATAATTGTTCCAGTTCACATAACTAAGCCAAAGAAATATTAGTTTTCAAGGTCCACTGACGACTCAAGGTTTAGAGGAAGTCAAACAACAGAGGCATCTATTAATCAGTTCTCTTAAAGAACTAAACAGTTTCACTCACAAACCAATAAGCAAAATGTTATTCAACTTCCAAATACGCATGAAAATAATTCGCATTATTTATATATGAGGAAAGTAATCCACACTGAATTCATATTACTAGACACTGATCCGAGAAATTATTTCATCCACATAAACATACTACTGAGTTCCGCATAAATTCATTCAAATAATAATAAACTGTATTATTCGCAAAGAAACTAGTTGAATAATGGATGCAAACAATGGAATTCTTTTACAGAAAATATGAGCCTTAAAATGGCATAATGATCCAATTACCTATTGAATGAAAAAAGTAGCCAGCCTCTACTAGTTAACAGAACAGATTAGAGATCAACTGTATTTGACTAACATATTATATCTACGAGACAATTCGATATCAAATAAGCGTCTATATCCAAAATGTAGTTTGTACTGATTTAACTTAATAAGAACTGTATACACTGTTTTGTAATTGTAGTATTCTTTTGTTTATAGAACTACTTAGAATTAATGATAATAAAAACAAAGTGATCCTTTATCAAAATGATTTGATTTATTGAACATGAAAATAATTGGGTAAACATTCTGGTTCACTGATTAGTGACATTGAAATATTAACCACATTTATAAAGGAGTATTGCCACATCTTTTATATAGAAATAAATGAAACAGTTTAATTCATGTGTTACATAACTGAAAATAAAGAAAAACAATAGACATCAGTATAGGGGTTGTGGAGATTATTAAATTTTTGATTGAGATCATGAACCGATTGATGTTAGACCAACACTGAAAACCTGGAAGCACTGGACGGCTGCTTCGTCCTATCGTTGGACTCCTTAGTAGTACGCATCCACGGTCCCCCTCGCGGGATTCGAACCCAGGCCCCTCAGTCTCACGCGCGAACGTTTAACCTACTGGATCACTGCGCCGGCATCTAATGGTGTTAATGTCTAACCTCAAACAATCCACGAAATTGCGCGACCATCTTCCATTGTACTGAGGTGGATACCTGTCTCTAAAAACAATAGATTACATGTTTTGAATTCTATTTGTATTAACTTCAGATTATTTGTTATTGTTCATATTACTAACTTGTTAATCAGTAATAATACTTAATCAATCCACAATGATTTGCTAGAATTTCATACTTTCTAAATGAACAACTGTATATGTGATATGTAAGATCAAATGATCAAGGTTTAACATTTCATCATTTGAAAATCTTAAATAGAGCCATTCAACATTTCAATGTATATATACATCATAAAAAATAATGAAAGTTATTAAAATACTATTATTGTACATACCTTCCAAAGTGTTTACCTACAATACAATGCCAAGTTGGATGATAATATTTATCGAATTCCATTTTAATATAAGCTGCAATATCTTTTTCAACAGTGTATTTCTCTATTGCAGTAACAGTTGTTTCAACAGCTTTTTGTTGTATATCTTCATGCATATCAGCGCTTATAATCGTAGCTGTTAATCTTTCCATGATGATAGAATGAAGAATATACAAATTGTGCTCTTAAATAAAAATGAACAGAGTTTGGAAACTTATATATTTATATTATTAACAAGTGAAAATTAAATGACCTTAAACTATCAATAGACTTTCATTTTAGTAACCTACCTTCAAACATTTACACGAATATATTAGACACTTATGCAAAGAGAAAAGATTGGCTGAACATGGAATAGAATTAGATAACATGATGGAATCATTAAATTAATAAGCAAATGATAAAGAATTACTTTTCCTAGGATTTATTCAAATTCACTAAGGTATGTATTACTCAAAGGCTCCATATGTCGATTAAGATTATGAACCAATGATGATCACAACTAAAATCAGTTACGTGTTCTGGTTTATGTATTATGATTTTGGAATGAAATTTTGGAATTTTATCAAATAATTCAACGCGCGACTATTGACCAGTTACAACCTACGTACCAAGTGTAATAAGTCAAAATAGTTTCCTTTATACGACAGATTATGAGTGGATTAACTGTGGATTTTATTTGATAGTGAAATTTAGATGGAATGGAGAGGAAATTCGAATAAATCGGTATAGATCATTAAAGCGATGAAAGCTGACATGATTTCATGTCACTGTTTTTATATCAGTTCAGTATGAGCTTCCTTCAATAATAAAAATGTAAACTTACAGTGTGGCAGTTATATTCCTACTTCTTACATTTCACTGATCACCAATGCCATATGTCAGACACCTCTTATTGCTGATCAAATTCCATTGA